TGCTTTTTTTTTTCTTTATTAAACTGCCTTTATCTCGACCCACGAGCCCTTTGATTTACTTTTCTCTCCTCTGTCTGGTTAGAGGGGAGTGATAGAGCGGCTTTGGTGGGCCCCTGGCCATCTAGCCAGGGCCAAACCACCACACTGATGCAAGAAGATTCGCGGCTCCTTACGAAGGACAGTTCCTGATAAGAACCAGGAATTTGCCTTAAGAACCAGCTTAAACCGACTCTGCAGTTTGGGCAAAAGCAAAGGATCAACTGAGTCTACAGGGGGTTACTAGCGGTGACAAAGAGGAGCCATCAGCCTTCATCCCCATGACCCCCGACGACCACCACAAGGAGGCACTGAGCAAGCGCAGTTGGGAGGGACTTACGGAAATGACCTCTTGAAACTCATTTTAATACGAAGCGGGGACAGGTTTTGCCTATGTATGGGCGTATTGGGAAACTTCATGTCTATGTAACACTTTGCTACATATAAACAGGGCAAGCTGCCGCGTGGAGGTGCGCACAACTTTGGTGGGACCACCCCCTGTGCTGCCCAGCGCTGAATGAACATACCTACTGTACAACCTTACAGATCTTTCCGTACCTAAAGGAGGCCTATAGCAAAGATGGGGACAATCTTTTTGGTAGGGACATCTGTGACAGGACAAGGGGTAATGGCTTTAAACTAAAACAGTGTAGGTATAGATTGGATCTAAGGAAGAAATTCTTTACAATGAGGGTGGTGAAACCCTGGCAGGGGTTGCCCAGAGAGGTGGTGGAGGCCCCATCCCTGGGAACATTCCAGGTCAGGTTGGACAAGGCTGTGAGCAACCTGATGTGGTTAAAGGTGTCCCTGCTCCTGCAGGGGGGTTGGGCTGGGTGACCTCTAGGGGTCCCTTCCAGCCCAAACCATTCTGTGATTCTATGATTCTATGATTGTGGAGTCTGTTTCCACACATCACGATGCCGCGGTGAATCAGCGGCGGGAAGGCTCCTACCTGGGTCAAAGTGGGACTCCACAATGACACGGACAGCGCTGCTCTGCCCCAGGTCTCGGACGCGGATGCTCTTGAAATCCTTCTTAACGTCAGAATTGCGGAAAAGCTCATCCAGCTAGTTGAGTCGGGTGAAGGAGGGAAGATAAACAGAGTCATGGGGAGATCCTGGGGCAACAGGTCCTTTCAGCAAAAGATCCTGAGCCTCAGCGAGTCTCCTTGGTTTCAACCCACAGGGGTTTGCATCCAAACCTTTGCAAAACATCCCACTGACACATGCAGAGAGCGGGGCTCCTCCGTGCAGGGCGATAATTTCAGACAGTCCCTATTCTTTACGGCCCGCAATCCAAGGTAAGAACAGGATTTAGAAATAGCGTGGGGAAAGCGAGCGATCCCCATCGCACCCATGGAGAAGAGCGGAGCAGAGCCAGACCAGAGACACCTTGCAGTTCATATAGGGATTTTCTATTGTGTGGCGCCTAAGTCCTACTGATCTCTTCTAAAGCTGTGTAAACCTGCTTAGGCACTTTGGAATATCCCGCAAGGCACCATTCTGCATCTTTAAGTACCTGACTGCCTTTTAAAACTGAGCTCTCGGACGTCGCAGGATTTGCCTGAAGTCACATGAAGGTGACAGTGGTAGCCCAAGGCTTACAGCAAGTCAGGGCTTTAACACCCCTGTTATCTGTCCAGCCTTGCGCTGGACCGCAGTCGGCACAGCTAGAGGCCACCACGTCCTTCCCTCGGCTTCCAAGAAAGTAATTAACTGACTGATGGTCCCATGGTATGGTCTACTCCCATAAATTTGGGCCTTAGTGATCTCAGAGGGGTAAAGGAGCGCATCGCATCCATGGGTATTTGCAGGCAGGTTGTGCAGGGACACCGGGTCTCTGCAGCACAGGGTGGTGGCGGAACTCTCAGCCCAGCCACGGGTGGCCCCTGGGACTGAGGGCCTGTGCCGTGCCTTCATCTCCCCCAGCCCTGGGAAAACAGAAATCAGCAAAATCTGCCTTCTCCCAGGGAGGGGGCGAGCGGACGAAGCAGTGAATGAAGCTTTCATGGGCACGTTTGCACCCTCACGGAGAAGCCTCTGTTGCATTGGGCAATATTGCTCTTGTGCTACGGAACGGCGTGAACCATATGGTCCATACGGCAGGCACACATCTGCTTCTACTGCTGTACCAAGGGCCTGCCAACTTCCAAGGGCAACCTGGAACCAGCTCGAGATACGTTCATCTCCTTGCAAAGATGCTTTGTATTTGCTGTGCCACACTACAGGCTACGGTAGAACGTTGCTACCCCAGCCAGCGCTTCCTCGGCGTACCCATAGGTACAGCTCCAAGAGCTGGCAATGAGAGGGGGGGGTGTCTCCTTAAAAGGTGGGAGACTGGATTTCCACCCCTGAGTTGTGTAGCTGAACCAGAGGGGCAAGGGGGTTTTGGACATGTTTTAGTCTAAGGGCTTTTCATGGAGATAAGGACACTGGGAAGTCCAGGGCGTTAAATCAGAACCGCTCGTCTAAAACAGCCCCACCACCAAGGTCAAGCTGAAAAAGGATAATTTTTGACCCAGCACATAACAAAGGATGGAAGCCACTGACACAGCATGCGGTAGAGGCTAATAACACACACGGATTAAAAAGAGATGGGACAAATTCACCTTGTAGAACATGGGCATCATCTCCTTACACTCCTATGAGCCCACTCCATAAAAGCGCTGGCGATAAGCCACGTTCAACCCCAATTTTTGTAGGTTAAGCCCATTTAAAAAAAAAAAAAAACAGTAACATGGAGCAATGCTCCTCCAAGGCACTCAACACATTTTGCAGATTTTGCGAATTCGACAGGTGGCAACGACGGGCCACGGCCTCCCCAGAAGCCATCGCCAACGAGAAGGCAAAGCAGGAGGAAACCCACAGCGGTTCCCGTGGCTGGGACAACAGCGCCCGCAGTTGCAGAGGGAGGCGCTGGCCCAGGGCACTGTAACGTGTGCCCGGGGAGCGGTGCTCCAAA